CAAAAAAATTATTAATTAACGATAAGTGTAAATATTATTAAGGAGAAGCGTTGCGACGGTATCCCACGATTAATAATAAAAAAAAATTAAATTAATATTTAATAAAAAAAAAACACATTTAAAAAAACGCGGTAAGTTATAGTAAAAGAGTGACTCCCTTCTCCTCGTCCAATAAAACCATCGCAAATTCGTAAGATTGTTCATCGTTTGCCAGACTTGCGCGTAGACTACCGACAACCCTAAATTTAAGCTCGTCTTTAGAAATTAATCGCGAATAAACTGTGAGTGTGTTTTAGGCTGAACGACGTTGAAGATTGCTAAATTTTCTCCAGAAATAAAGAAACAGATTGATTTCGTACTGTAAAAGTATCAGTGCTGAATTGATTCCGATAAAAAGAAAATTAGAAAAAAGAATATAAATAAGCGGACGTTAATGAAAAGATACTGAAACGGTTAGAAAAAGAAAATATGTGTATAAGAAAGAAAGAGAGAAAAAAAAAGCGTAAATTACATACATGAATGAAGGAGAGAGTGAGAAAGCGAGCGAGCGAGCGAACAAGAATGAGTGAGAAAATATAAACAAAATTTTACTACCAAATGAACTAGAAATCGCAACCGATGGGTATTACTAAGGGGATATAAAAAAAAAGAAAATAAAAATAAAAGCTAAATATTCGGAGCGTTTTTTCGATAAAGAAAAGCGTCCAAAATTGTACCTATTTTCATTTTATAAATTATATATAAATATATATATATATGTATATGTATATGTATAGATATACGACGACCTAAGCGATCATTAATGTGGAATGCAATTGAGAACCGAAGGAGTAAAGTGAAAAAGATAAAAAAATTATTGTACCTATATTCGGAGAGTGATCGATAGCGTATTCGAGTCGTGATTAATTATCGAAAATTATGATCATCGTCATCATCATTACATTATTACTATGATTATTATTATTTATTACTTTTTTGTATTAATATTATTATCTTCATTATTATTGATTATCAAATACGATCGTTGTGAATAGATAAAGCAAAAGTGATTGAAACTCTGTTAGAATTATCGCAAACACAAAATACCTTTTACAGGAATCGAAAGCGAGATAGAGAAAATGAAGTCAGAACGAAAGTTAGAAAAAATGAAAGAATGTCTGTGTGTGTGTGTGAGAGAGAGAGAGAGAGAATGAGAGAGAGAGAAAGAGAAATAGAAAGAGAGTAAGAAAGCGTACCTCAATATCGATAATTACATATTGCGTGTCGACCGACAAAAAAAAGAGTCCCTCTCCCTTTCAGTAAACAGAAAAGGTCTCTATTTAAGAAATAGTAAAATAGCTAAAAATATGGAGGTTATGAACGAATCAGGATAAAAAGACGTGAGTTAAGTAAATTAGCAGACAATATGACGCAAATATATTATTACATATAAAGTTGACAATAGGCAAATATTTAAATAAAAAAAAAAAGCAGATCATTTTTCCTTTCTTACTATTGTTATAATAATATATAAAAGAGAGTAAAAATAGTAAAATATTCAAAACGACGACGACTCGTTTCTTGTTTCATTTTCTACAATGACCAAAAGTTTTAATCAAGAAAAATAAAAGAGAGAAAAAGAATGAGAGCGAGAGCGAGAGAGAGAGAGAGAGAGAAAGAGAAAGTAAAAAAGATTAGCCATATTATTTAAAAAAAATATATATATATCTATATATAGAAATATACATATATGTATGTTGTATGTGCATGCGTGGCACGCCTACGTACGTACACGGCATCGAAAAGAAATGAAAAATAAAAATAACACTAAAATCACGTTACGAGCAATATGTGTGCACGAATGCGTCCTCCTTCGCGACGATATCAGCAGCCCTCTTCCAGCGGCTTCCATTTTTAGAACTTGATTGATCGCGAGAGAACGAGAGCGGAAAAGAAACGAAAAAAAAATACAGACTAGGAATAGGGTAAGAAAATTTTTCAAAAAAAAAAGAAAAAAAAAGAATAAGAAAATATAAGAAACATAAAAAACGAATGAAAGTAAAAAAATATCATCGCATAGTAGGTATAACCTCTTTCTCTCGCGAGAAATATGTTAACACATACGTACAACAAATACTATGAATATATTGTATAGAGGCACTCGTCGTCGTGAACGAGGACAATCTCGTGAAAAGAAAAAAAGAGGATAATGGAAAGAAAGATCGTGCGGAAATAAGAATGTTGAAAGAAAGAGATCGAGAGTTTTAATAATAATAATAACGGATGACAATGTAGAAGAACTACAAAAGTCGCATAAACGAAACAGTTATATAGCAGATATCTCGAATAAATGTTTATTTTTCTTTTTTTATCACGCGAATAATCGAATAAAGTAATATTTTCAGATATATACATATATCTATTAGATACACTCTACGTTTTGCGATCGGCAAAATGATTGTCATTTTAGCCGTTCGCAACAAAAGACCGGTAAAAATAATTAAGTCCCTCGGTCGTCGTCCATTATTGTGACAATTTGTTTTTGTTCTAAATTACTAAAAATTTTTTAACGAAAGAAAATAAACTGTTAAAATAGTAGAATACATACAGCCACATCGAACGCCGACCGATGGACCATCAAATCAATCAGTCAATAGGGTCCTATACTTTTTAACCGCGGCATATTAATTTATTCCCATTTCCTATTCAACCAACATAAATCCAGTAAAAGTTCCTTATTTGGTTGTTCCACGAACTGGAATTACTCCTATTCCATAATCGTCGCCGTTAAACCACCCTTCCCCTTATCGTCTCGACCATTATTGCCACGCAATCGAGTTGTTATAATTATTATTATTATTGTCATCATTGTCATTGTCATGGTTTTGCCAGCATCACTTCAGGGCCACCAATTCCTTCTCTCCATAGCCCAACACAACCTCTCTGATCCAAACACCCCTCCCCCCTCCCCAAAAACTCCTTACAATCCTTTACCGTCCCTCCACTACCAAACCGATTTACCAGTGTGAGTGAATGTGTCAACACGTGAGTTCAACAAATGAGAAATAAGAAAAATAAATGAAAATAATAACGAATGAAAAAGTGATGCGAAAAGAATACGATGATAAGACTCGATATGAATTTTCGGAGTTAAGAGATATTTATAGCGCGATTCAAAAAATATGCGGTAAAGCGTCGAGTGTTTAAAACAGCCGAAAGGGTTGAAAGGAGAAGGATAGAAAAACGTACACACACACACGCGTTCGTCGGACTGTGCAGGGACATTTTTACATCAATCGTATTAAAAACACACGAGACAGAGGAAGAAAGTGTGCGTGTGTGTGAGAGAAAACAAGGATACAAATCGAAAGCGAGAGAAAGAGAGAGAGAGAATGTGCGAGTGAAAGTTCGAAAACGTGAGAAACAGAAAGAGAGAATGAGAGATATCGGATAAAGCGAGAAAGAGAGAGAGAAAATGTGTGTGAGAAAAAGAGAAAGAGAGAAAGCGAGAACGAGTGAGAAATAAGAATTATGAGGGCGAGCGGGAAAATTAAACGGCGGAAGCTAACAAACAAAATGTACGAACAAACATTGATACTGTCTTCGTTTTTTAAGGTCGTTTCTCCGTTCGACACGCTGTTGTATAAATATTGACATTTGTCACTGGATTATTACCGACGATGATGAATTATCATTATTATTATAACACTATTACTATTATTATGATAAGAAACGATTATTATTATTATTATTATTATTATTATTATTATTATTATTATTATTATTAATATTATTATTATTATTATTATTGCCATTAATTATTGTCATTAATTATTGATTATTGATTATTATATATTATTATTATTACTATTATTATTAATACTATTATATTATTAATACTAAAACAATTTATTACTGTCATTATTGTCACGACTTTATTTTTGAGATGATAATTATTGTAGAATCATTTTATTATTATTATTATTATTATTATTATTATTATTATTATTATTATCATTATTGTCATTAATTATTTATTAATGATTATTATTATTTTATTATTATGATTATATCATTATTGTCATTAACTATTGATTATTAATTATTGATTATTAATTATTGATTATTGATTATTATTATTATTATTATTATTATTATTATTATTATTATTATTATTATTATTATTATTATTATTATTATTATTACGTGGTACAATAAAAATTTAATAAGCATCTGAAGTCTCGTGACTATGATCATCCTACCCACTACCACTCATGCTTCGATATTATCGTTGATGGTTTCTCTATCGGAAGAATGAATTTAATATCATGACCTTTCTTAAGAGTACAAAAAATAGATAACTTAGCCTGATTTCAACAAGAGAAGAAAAACAGGGATTTATCGTATATAATATTATCTAGCATATACATTTGAAACGATTTTTCAGGCCCGGGGCGCGAGTTATTAAATTTCTGTAAAAATTATAGTAAGAATCAAACTATAAAATGCGATACTCGAAATATATCTTTCATATAACATCTGTTTTTATTTAATAACGGTTCTGAAGAAGTTTATTTTATTTAATAATCTAATGCATAATTATCAGTATAAAACTTTAAACGAATGACTTGCACATCGAGAATAAAATAATAATCATTAAAAATATATAGTAGCTCAATAAATACAGATAATGGAAATAATTCAAACGAAATGTCAATTAATATAGATATTAGTTATAATAGAAATATTAATTATGCATAAATACTTTTTAAAACGCGTAGCATAACTCTAATAAACTACACATATTTAAATCTAAACATTATCGAGATAAATGAAAGAAAAACGTATTATATAAAATAAGGAAAAAATAACGCATATTCATTATCACAGTATCACATGAAGTGATTATAAAATATCGTGCTCTAAATTTTTGAAGAAGGTAATACTGAGATTCCGAGTCTGAGGATAGTGACCGGGTTCACGAGGGTCATCGCTTGATGGTCTATACTACGCGAGTCGATCAGAATAAACTAGTAGTCAAGAACGAATCATTGAATGCAAATGATCATGTTTCGTTTAAACTTTCGTGATAGACGTATATACCGTATTGAAGGTATAGAAAAATGCTTGGAGGTACTACATGTTAGTGTGCGTAAATCGTCGACCCTCGAAGCAACTTCGAAGGTTAGGTCAAAATACAAGAGTTCTATAACGTATTTAGGGTGTTTGATCGATTCTACGATATCCTCTGGCCTCTTCGGACTAATTCGGAATTCAATGGTGCGAACAATGTCTACAACAACGAATTTAAATAAAATAGAAAAGACCTGTTTATACGATCTTCATGTTAAAAAGGAAGGCAAGTAATTAAGATTTATGAGTGAATTTAATTATCGATTGAATATTTTGATCCAAAATTTATTTTTCCAGGGAAAATAGTCAATTTCTCAGGATGGCTGTTGCCGGTACAATACAAAGAAGCGATAGCTGTGTCTCATCTACATACAAGAACTTTCGCCTCTATTTTTGACGTAGGTCATATGATGCAAACACGTGTTAGTGGGAAAGATGCAGGAGAATTTCTCGAGTCTCTAACGACTTCCGATTTAAAGAAATTAAACGAAGGTTTTGCTACACTCACTGTGTTTACCGACGAGAACGGAGGTATACTAGATGATCTGATCATTACTAAGGACAAAGATGATCAGTATTTCGTGGTTTCAAATGCGGGAAGACGAAAAGAGGACATGCAATTATTGCTATCACAAGCGGTAATTATTGTTTTTTATGTTTATACCTATTTACTTTATTTACTTATATACAATTGTATATAAGTAAATGTAGTTATGACAGTGTACTAAATTAACAACTTTGTAAATTTATTTTTTGATTTATTTATGGTGCTATTATATTTTCCATACTATATTACAGAGATTAAAATAATCACAGATTTTTTTTGTAGGATAACTTTAAGAAACAAAATAAATTAGTCGATTTGGAATTTCTCGATCCCCTCGAGCAAGGATTAATAGCATTGCAAGGGCCAAGAGCATCGACGGTCCTTCAGCCATTGCTCCAAATCGATCTATCGAAATTGAAATTCATGAGCAGTGTGATAACCAATGTCTTGGGTATCAACGTTAGAATATCACGTTGCGGATACACTGGTGAGGATGGTTTCGAGATATCAGTACCAGGAATTAAGGCATGTGATCTGGTGGAGAAGCTCCTGGAGAATCAGGAGGTGAAACTCGCTGGACTTGGCGCTAGGGACAGCCTAAGGTAGGATCTACAGGTGGTCAGGGTGGGGCTCTACTGACTTTTTCCACCAATTTCCGTAGACTGGAGGCCGGACTTTGCCTCTACGGACACGATATCGATCACAACGTCACGCCAGTTGAAGCTGCCCTGAATTGGTTGGTAGGTTAGTATTTTTCCTTAACAATAAATCTACAGATAATTTATGTACTTCTATTTATATCGTAACCGATCAAATAACCGATCCTGAGCTAAATCTTTAGAAAAATATTTGCTTCAATTTAATACAGATAACAATCAATTTAATATTGGCTTTAATAATAAATAAAACAATATTTATAATTATAATTGTCTTAAGGTCAAGCGAAGATAAGCATTAATATTAAAGACAAAATATTCATTGTAAATTAAAAACCGGTCATTTGATTGATAAATGTTAAAATCAAGTATTTTTAAAATCCATTTAATTCAAATTTAAAAACTAGTACTACATATTAATTTCCGAGAAATTTTGAGATAAAAAGATGATTTTTATGTAGCGAAGAGAAGAAGAACGGAGGCCAATTTTCCAGGTGCCGAAAGGATTCTTTCGCAGATTAAACTTGGTACTACGAAAAAAAGAATTGGTTTGATATTAGGACTAGGACCACCTGCTAGAGAAGGTGCAAGTATATTAACCCCAGAGGGTGAACGAGTTGGTAGCGTCACTTCCGGTGCTCCAAGTCCTACTTTAGGGCGTCCAATTGCTATGGGCTATATACCACCAGACCTAGCACAATCTGGACAAGGTGTATTGGTAGAGGTTCGAGGCAAGACTTACAAAGCCACTGTAACCAAAATGCCATTCGTAAAGACTAAATATTACGTAACTAAATAATGATTATTCATAAGAATTTATTTTATGTCTTGTTAATAAAATATTTTCTTTATTACTCTCCTTTTTTTATGGGTTTGAAAAACTGCTCTACGAAGCCTTTTAAACACACCCCACATTTTTCACAGAAGCTATCTTATCTTCTCTCTGGAATCAACAGGATGAGTTATTTCGAAGCAGTCTCCCATCCAGGTACTTAGAGTGTCCATCGTTACTTAATTTCAATAATCGAATTTATTTTTTTAACGAAGTGAGTTTGTTAACATGTTGTGTTTATTATAATATTTCTTTAAAATACACCTACTATATATATTATATGAATGTATATAAATATTTATCATTATTTTATTTTTTCAAAATTTATGTGAATTACATTATATCTAAAGGTTCATATTTTGTATCGATGAATTTATATTACGGACTGAGAAAAATATTCTCGAACGAAGAATCCAATAATCTCATAGGTAAATATCCATTTATTGCATATGTTCAAATTATACTACCATTACGTATCATTATAGTATGATAATAATCCAAGCACAAGCTATTTCAGAACCTCATAGGTTATATGTAAAAACAGAAAAATATAGTAGATTTAGTTCATTGGTATTTCAAGTTTCAACATTAACATTATATTTACATAAAGTATACAAAAACTTTACTAGAATGCTTCGAAATAATTTCGTGTTTTTGTTACGTTTAATAAGTCAATAAAAATATTGTAAAAAACTACTTTTCTTCATCTTCATCTTTTTTATTCTTAGTATTGTTTATAAATATTCTATTTCGATTTAAATTGTTTTATTTGTTTATTTTTTGTGCACTTTCATACTTTGCGTAATTTATTTTAATTGGATTCCAAATGATTTCTTAAATAAAATAAATATCGATAAATTGTATTATTACCTTGTATACAATTTTTATCGTGTATATATAAATAATAAAAATAACGTGTAATAAATATTTTTTTATTACAATAAAAAGCCCGACAAATAATCGATTGACCATTACCATAGTTTTACATTTTTCTACGTAACTGTGTAATATTTGCTGTTCCATGTTGATGATACAATGAAAAGATACGCAACTCATAAGAATATACCATTGTTTTATTACTTTCATTTTTTTATACGCAAAAATGTAACACTTGTCCGTCGAATACGAAATAAAATTATGGTATGATACAAACAAATGCATCTAATGGATATCTGCCTTAAAATTAATCCAACTTATCAAATGTGGGTATATTAAAAAACTGAATTACCGACTAAGTTAATACTTTCAATCTTTAAAATATAGATGGAGAAATGTGTACTTTTCAACCAATGAAGTTCAACCCTTCTTTTATATATTAAACCACAGTATATAATTTGGATTTCTTGGTTGGAAGTGCTTTCTATAGAATGCACAAGTTGCTTTTAACTGTAGAATATTACTGTCATGAGATCAAATAATAACGTGATAAAAATATTTTTAATCAAATAATAACAATTGCTAGTGTTTAATATCAATAGAAGTAATAATGGTCCGAAGCAGTGATAAGTAAGTACAATGAATATAAAATAAATTGATTTAGAGGTTATATTACTGACGCTTTTAATATTGTTTTTTAAGTTATTTTATATAACTTTCTTCTATTTATGGTCATATATTTTAAATAAATATTATGGTAGTACTTATAATAAATGAAACATTAAATTCTATTTAAATTTAATACTTAACTTTTTCTCTTTTTCTCTCTTTAATTTAAGTATTTATTTATTTTTTGTTTATTTTTTGTTTATATGCATTCTTAATTCTTAAAGTAACTGTGTATTGTATATTTAATTATTTATTAAAATTATGCATATTTAGGGATAGACATCATAGAAGACGGTCTAGATCAAGATCAAGATCACGTACCGGTACACCAGAAAAGAAACGCAGACGTTCCAGGAGCAGAGACCGAGAAAGAGAAAGGGATAAGGGACGCCATAGGGAAAGAAGGAGTCGTTCAAGAGATAGGGACAGGGAAAGAAGTGATAGAAGAGAACGCTCAGATAGAGACAGAGATCGTGACAGGAGAGAGAAACGGTATTAGAAATATTAATATATGTTTGGAAATATTTTCAATAATCAAAGAAAAGCTTTTACCTATTTAGGCACAAGTACTGAAAGAAAATTTTAATTTTTATTATAATGTATTAGAAAAATAATTCATTTATATTGACTGTTCTCGGTATACTAGTGGAGACAGTAAAGAAAAGCGTCTTACAGGCTCAAAGTCTTCACGCTCAGGTAAAGAGCGCTCCAACAGATCTCGATCAAGGGATAGAAAGGAAAAGGAGAAAGGTGAAACTGAAGAATTACCATTCGATCATACAAAATTAGATAAGGTAATTTTTTGTGTTCTTCTTAGAAATTTATAACAAACAAATAAACATATGTTATAATATACAGAGTGTTATTAATGTAATCAGTAAAAGCGTGCAGGGGGAGGATTCAATTTGAGAAACTAAATCAAAAATGTAGAATAACATTTTTTCTTATGTCTTTGTTTTTGAGAAAAATAAGTTTAAAAATTTATCAAATATGCGTACACTTGATTCATTCGTAAATAATTACGGCATTTTGATAAAAAAAATATAACAACTTATTACTAGCAGTAGCAGAAATTACTTTCAAAATCTTTGACGACCTCAAATGCTGCTCACATAAACATTAAATATTGCTGATTTATTACTAAATTGTATCATAGTAATTTTATGTCAGATTGCTATCCGTTACTGTTCTTTATATAATTTTTATTCTTATCATAACTTTTTAATAAAACTTTAAATGACCGATGTATGTGTGTTTATATAACATTTCTTATTTAAATCCACCGAATATACTAACAAATTTTGTTTGTTAAAATCTGAAACATTCTGTATAAAATAATTCATTTTCAGGAAGAGGAACAAAAACGGCTGGAACTAGAAATGCAAAAGAGAAGAGAGAGGATAGAACGATGGCGTGCTGAAAGGAAGAAAAAGGAGTTAGAGGCAACTAAGAAAGATGGTAAGACATCTATTTTGGCAAATCTTCAATTGCCTATGAAAAAATGGTCCCTCGAGGATGACAGTGATGAAGAAACGCCTGTGGTTCAGAATAGCAATAAGGAAGTCAAAGAGGAAGGCGCTTTGAAAGAAGAAGTAGAAGAAACTAAAGAAGAGACCAAAGACGAAGAAGAAGAAGTTGACCCTCTTGATGCTTTCATGGCAGAAGTAAATACAAAATAAGAATGCTTGTATTTAAAATTTAAAAAAATTATTAATTATATTAAAATTTGTTTTTTTATATAGGTCCAAGAAGAAGTTAGGAAAGTAAATAAAATTGACAGTAAAACTCCAAAGAGTACTAATAATGGTACAGGTCCTGGAAATCAACAAAGTGGTGGTGTTGTTATTGTCACGGGTGTAGCTAAAAAGAAAGTGCAGAAACAAAAAGGAGAATTAATAGAACAAAATCAAGATGGTCTTGAGTACTCCAGTGAAGAGGAAGGAGAAAATCTTCATGAGACAGCGGCTGGAATTGCTAATAAACAAAAAAGAGAACTAGCTAAAGTAGACCATGCGACAACAGAATATCAACCATTTAGAAAATCATTTTATGTAGAAGTACCTGAAATTGGTAAGTTCTTAACAATACTTTCAAAGACTAACAATTATTTTATAAATTTTATATATATGAATGATTTACTATTTTATTTATTTGGTCAGTTATTGACTTTATCTAATTTATTGTTAATAATAATTATTTATTTTATCATTTTTTTATTTCGCTTTTGTACAAATCTGTAATACATTGTACTACTTATAATGCTGAAAGGCAATCAATAAACCATTACTACTATAATTTATGGATATTAATTGTAGCTAGGATGACACCAGAAGAAGTAGAAGCTTATAAGGAAGAACTCGAAGGCATACGTGTAAAAGGCAAAGGATGTCCAAAACCAATTAAATCTTGGGCACATTGTGGTATAACTAAAAAAGAATTAGATGTTCTGAAAAAACTCGGATATGAAAAACCAACCCCTATCCAATGTCAAGCTATTCCAGCTATAATGTCTGGAAGGGATCTTATAGGAATTGCCAAAACTGGAAGTGGAAAGACATTAGCATTTTTATTACCAATGTTTCGTCACATCCTAGATCAACCTCCATTAGCTGACGGAGATGGACCAATCGCATTAATAATGTCTCCAACTCGAGAACTTTGTATGCAGATTGGACGAGACTCAAAAAAATTCACAAAATCTTTAGGTCTTTCGCATGTATGTGTATACGGTGGTACTGGTATATCTGAACAAATAGCAGAGTTAAAGAGGGGTGCAGAAATAATCGTTTGTACACCTGGAAGAATGATTGACATGTTAGCAGCAAATAGTGGAAGAGTTACTAATTTACGTAGAGTGACTTACGTTGTCCTTGATGAAGCTGATAGAATGTTCGACATGGGTTTTGAACCACAAGTGATGCGTATAATGGAAAATGTTAGACCAGATAGACAAACGGTTCTGTATAGTGCTACGTTTCCAAGACAAATGGAAGCACTTGCCAGAAGAATACTTACTAGACCTGTAGAAGTACAAGTTGGTGGTCGTTCTGTAGTTTGCAAAGATGTTGAACAGCATGTGGTGGTATTAGAGGAAGATCAAAAGTTCTACAAACTTCTCGAAATTCTTGGGCATTATCAAGATAAAGGTTCTGCTATTGTATTTGTTGACAAACAAGAAAATGCGGATACGCTTTTAAAAGATCTTATGAAAGCTTCCTATTCGTGCATGTCTCTACATGGAGGTATTGATCAATGTGACAGAGATTCAACGATTTTAGATTTTAAAGCTGGACGAACTAAATTACTTGTTGCTACATCAGTTGCTGCCAGAGGATTAGATGTTAAACATCTTGTTCTTGTTGTCAATTATGATTGTCCAAATCATTATGAAGATTATGTACATCGCTGTGGTAGAACTGGTAGAGCTGGAAATAAGGGGTAAGGTATTTTTTTCTTTTATAAAAGTTTTAAATTTATTTACCGTATATTTAAAAAAAAATTATTTTTACCTTTTTTCAGATATGCATACACATTTATAACATCTGAACAAGAACGTTATGCAGGTGATATTTTACGTGCGCATGAATTGGCTGGGGTACCTGTTCCAGAACCTTTGCGACAATTATGGGAAGCCTATAAGGCTCGCCAGGCAGCAGACGGAAAGAAAGTACACACAGGAGGTGGTTTCAGTGGTAAAGGATTTAAATTCGATGAATCGGAAGCAGCTTTAGCCAACGAGAAAAAGAAATTCCAGAAAGCAGCTCTTGGTCTGCAAGATTCCGACGATGAAGATATTGAAAATGATATTGATCAACAAATCGAAAGCATGCTTGCTCCCAAAAGAACGGTTCGCGAAATTGCAAGACCATCTGCTGCAAATATTGCAGTTCCTGGTCAACCAGTGACAAGTGCTACTGATAAATTAGAATTGGCTAGAAGACTTGCATCCAAGATCAACATTGCTAAAAATTTGGGTGCGGAAGCAAAAGGAGCTACCCAACAAGCAGCAGAAGCTATACTTAAGGGTGCTGGTCCTACAAATTTGATTACGGTAAGTTAGCAAAATGATTTAAACGAAATAAAAAATTTTAATAACTATTATAATTTATTCTAACGTTATTTTTCTTTTTTAGGCAAAGACCGTTGCTGAACAATTGGCTGCTAAATTAAATACCAAACTCAATTATCAACCACGAGAAGAAGATCTCGTAGAAACCGACTCTGAAACTGGCGAACAAACCTTCCGAAAGTACGAAGAAGAATTAGAAATAAATGATTTCCCTCAGCAAGCAAGATGGCGTGTTACGAGCAAGGAAGCTTTAGCACAAATCTCTGAATACTCTGAAGCAGGCCTTACAGTTAGAGGAACCTACATTGCTCCTGGTAAAGCACCCCCGGAAGGCGAAAGAAAATTGTATCTTGCAATTGAGTCAACCAGTGAATTAGCTGTTAGCAAAGCTAAGGCAGAAGTATCTCGGCTTATAAAAGAAGAATTAATTAAGTTGCAAGCATCTGGAGCTCATACTGCTTCACGAGGACGATATAAAGTTTTATAAATTACTTCAATACATTAACTGTTTATAAATATAATCTGATGGATTGACTATGATTGGAGAACAAAAAGATTATAAATTTTATTATACATACAGATAAAATCAAATATCAATACAAAGTTTGTGTGTATTTATCAATATAATAACAAATTATACTTAATAACTTAATAAGCAACATTTATAATAATTTTATTGATCTAAACTGCCAGAAAGTGGTAAAGACAAAAACAAACAAGACAATGCAAAGATTTTGTACATTTTGATTTTATGAAAATATAAAAATCATGTTGGGTATATTATATATTATATAAACATTGAACACACGAAATGAGTATCGAACATTTTTAAGGACGACTGAATTTTAGGTTACTTATTGTCTGGTAACTTAAGTTAGAAACTGTTGTTTATGTACACTTAATATAGTACAACGCGATATAGGTCAAAAAACTCTCTGCGTCATAGTAAACCGCGTTTTTGTACATTCTCCTTATCGTAATTCTATTTTTTCTTTGGTAATACTAGAATTAAAAAAACATACATTCTATAAACCATAACGTATTATAAATATATATATATATAGGCACTAGAAGAATCACAGACACAAGATTGACGTTGTCATATATGACATCGTCACTAGGTAATGTAAATGCTTAGCACCTTGAACGATTCAAGAAAGGGATCAGAATCTGTCATTCACTTTTGTAAATTTACTAATGTAATCGAATCAGAAATGTTCCAAAAATATAAAATAAATATTCTACTATATTTCTAATGTATATGCAAAAGGAAATGATTAGAATCCCTCATCTAATAAACCTTTCTAAGATCGTCTTCAGCTATAAATTTATAATTAATATCGTATTCTGTTCGTTCGAAGGTACGTAAATCGTAACAGCAATTAATACAATTTTTCTTTTTTTCTGTGTATGCTTTGTTAGTTTCTAATCGCTCATGTAAAAATACTGAATATGATCATGCACGCGATTATAGGAAACCAAACACGATTAACGTTAGCACTAGCAATATGATTATGTGCCAATTCTGCTCGAGTAAGCGATCCCAAAGGAACTTCTGCTGCAATTTTAGAACTTCTCTCCGTAATTCTAACAACGAGTTTTTCCATTTCCGCTACGCAAGCTCGTAATTGTAAAGACGAAGGTTTTTCAAGCACAGATTGTACTACAACGAAAATATCACCCTCGAGAGTTACCATACCGCGAAGTGCACACTGTGCTACTTGTACTTGTCGTCTTAATGCAGATAAAAGAGCATCCAATGTGACGAAGTCTTTATCAATTTCTTCATCCATCATGTGATATATTTTATCCAACTGTAATCATCGAACATGAAATGATTATTTTAGAATCTCTCAATGAAAAATTTTCGGTATATTCAATTTGGATACCCACCTGTTTTTTCGAATAATATAATCTGGCAGCTCCGCCACATACAGGACAACAAGCACCAGGTGGAGTAACGCCGATACAATTGGGCTCCTTCAAAGATGGACATTGAACAATATCACCGCATCGAGGCTTTGCTTCATCACTTATCAAGCCAACGGTAACACATGGACCATAATAATCTACAACAGTTTTCTCTGCCCAGGCAGCACATTCATTGATGTATACTTCACCGTCGATACCACAAACCGGTCCCCGAAGACTGCAACCCTTCAAACAAGGAGATCTATAGCCAAGACTAGCCCCAGCTCGTATCATAGCACAAATCGAATGATGCTGACGATTGTCTTTATCGCAGACCGGACCACTAGTTTCTTCTCGAGGATTGCAATCTATTGGTACGCACTCGTATTGTTGACAAAATTTGTGAATCGATGTTAAACAAACTCTACGCCTTCTTACGCATTTATCTGTACCGTTACAAGGATTTGGAAAACATGGATCCCGACTGGAACATCTACCAAAGTCAACTTCATTCGCGGTAAAACCAGCACACTTAGCTAAACATGCCGATGCAAAAGTGTAGCCTGACTTTCCACAAACTGGTACATAATGAGCCGGACAATCGCATGGTAAAGAGGGTATCTTAATTTCAGTGCATGATTTTCTCGAGCAAGTAACTTCTCCCTCGAAACAACGACAAAGATTACACTCGAGATAAAAGTTCGATCTCGATGGAATAAAACGATCTTGTACCCAACAAAATTCGAAATTGATGGAATTCAATTTTTTACATTTCTCCAATCCTTGTAACGTGCATTGACATATCCTGAGACAACCGTGTTTATCATATCTTGGAATTTGAACCCACGAAGAAAGTGGTACTACTTGCTTTGATATTTCTCCCAGAGTACAGCCAGGTACGCAACGATAAGTTTCACGTTCGTTTACGGTTAAAAGACATATTTGACCTTGAGGACAAGGATTATTTTTACATGGTGTCGTAATATCGTCCTGCGGATTAATCACAGAATTGTCATCCCGTGGATTCTCAAGAAAAGGCTTTAAAGAAACACATGGAGCATCTGGTCTACTTGGTGAAAGCTTTGAACATAAAGTTGCAGCCGTATGAGATCCTGTGATAGTAGACCAATCTACACAATTAGCCATCAATTCTAAACAATCCTCTCGACATAGTCGTGTCTCGTGTATTCTTGCCTCGCAAGGTCGTAATTGCAAAAGGCAGGCTGCAGCGCGTAAAGTTTCTGGTGGACAGGATGATGCTATTTGAACAGCAACGCCAAGTCCTCGAATGATACCACCGCGAGACCAATGATCTGCCTCCCACTTGGCAGCATCATCTGCTGCAGCTGTGCACGTCCTGTTAAAAGAACAGGTATAGATTGAAGTATGTAAATAAAGCAACTTCACATACTTGTATGTTAAATTATATGGTACGCAACCTGAACAGCATAGTCGGCCTGTCGTTAAATCGTGCACAATAAGAAAGACCAGAGCATCCCATTTCACAAGAATTATCAGCTTCATCGAGACATCTTCGTAATTCGTTATCCAAGTTTGAAGAAAGACACTCGGAATCCAGTTGAGACCAAGCTGTTTCCCAATCGGCTTGAAATGCCCTCCAGCAAAGATTCTGACAACGTTGTTTAGTTGCTCTTGAACAACAGGAAAGTTTACCGGTGTCCAATGGTAAACGTATTGGTTTCGTTGGAGTTGATTTCAATACGCAACTCCACAATGGCGAATGAGGCAATATGGGACTACATTTTTCTGCAAGAGCGTCCAAAATTTCCTGATCGGTCGTTGCTGTTTGGAGAATTTTCCGACATGTATCTGAACATGCTGCATTCGTCGCTTCATCGCAACAATGCAAATCTACGTGGTAACAAAAAATAGGTAGGGAAATTTCACGTTTTATTATTGATTGTTAATTTTTCATAAAATAATAAATTCAAATAAATATCATCGGTTTTTAAACGTATATATATATATATAAATCTGACTTACATTGTTTGGGATCGTCGACACGCCTAACCTCGGCTACGTTTTTGAGACACTTTGGTATTTGATGAAAACAACCCTTGCTATTATATAACTTTAAACTCGATCGTTTTCCAGGTTTGTGGAATAAATCCTTACAAACTGATCTACATGTGTCATTTGAAACAGTACTGCAACAACGTTCTGCTTCTTCGCGTCTTTCCAAACAAGAAACTAGTTCCGGCTCGTCGCTAGGTCTACATGATTCACTCAAGTTACTTCTGGACCCTGACACAGCACAAGTCGTCTGACATATTGGATTTTGTGCCAAATGACAACACTTTCTACCTGTCCAATTTTCATTTTTCTTCACTTCTACAAATTTCGTCGATCAATTAATTAGTTTTTAAATTCAATTATCAAGTTTTAATGCGATACTTACCCTCCAAAGTGAAGTTAACGCAGGTCCAAAAATCTATCTAAAATTATTAAATTAAAAACAAATTTATATGTCTATATTTATATAACTTTTTATATACAATTTATTATAAAATCAAATAACAATTTCTTACCAACTCAAAGGAACAGAATTCTAAAAAACGTGAAGTTGCATTTTTTCTTGCTTCAGGGTCTGCTCCCAAAGTTACTAGTGGAATCTGTAAATAGAAAATCAAATATAGAATTAAATAATTCATAAAATATGAATTTAATAAATGTATTTTATATAAATATTAACTATAAATCAGTATATATATTTATATAATTATGAAATATAATATAGAATGCATAAATCTCATTTTTATATATCGATATAGTATGCAGTTAAGTCTGCATCTTTTACGAGCATATCTATTGGAATTTTTCAAAATCTCAAAATGCAGAGTAGCACATTAGGTGGCATTAAGAATCAAGGACGTAAACGTTCTGAGCTCACCACAATTTCCTGTTAGTCAACACTGAATGCCAATAGATCTGGTGGATATCGACCGTTTGCCCGTTTGACACTCATTCCTGATTCAATCGGTGTCCTAAGCGAGGACTTACGGGGTCAGTTTGTATTTTCATCACGCATTCAAGTTACGACCGCCTATCAACGCGTGGTGGGTCCTGAGACTCGTCGAGTTAGACAGGTCAGAGGTTGTAGATAGTGTAAATTTGTGATGTATGTATGTATATACCTAAACGATGATTATGTTTTTACTATACAATTTTTCTTTCTTTTTTTTATTATAAAAGATAAAGAATTTCTGTAATTCTTTTTTTCTTTGATAAAAAATTGATGACGTAAAATTGAATATATAGAAATTTAAATATCTACCAAACGTCTTCGTATACTATCTCTCGCTACGATCTTGAAACTTAAGGACGAAGAACTGCAAAGGCAATGTAGATACGTATTTATGTCTCGGTATATTCTGGGAGGAATGTAAAGATGGGTCGCGACGCCATTTTCCGACGAGCGTTTTTTTTTTATTCGCAAATTTTCTGCGCCTCTCTTGTCGAGTAATTTATTCTCTATGTATTTACTTTAAGAATTAAAAAAAGAACCATGAAATACAAAAAAAATATATTAATTTCATATCTAAATGATATTTTAATATTCAAACAAAATAGTAATATTTATTTATAAACGTATATATCTCTGTAAAATTCTGAAAAATGAAACTTTAATTCTAGATGATTTACATGAATAGTTTTTTTTTCTATATTATATTATACCTATAATATACCTATGCACGTAGGTAGATGTATGTTTTAAATGTGCTTTCAGACAGTTCGAACGCGTAAAACTTAACGACCAGTTTTACAACGTAGCACAGGGAACGAAAATATTGTTCCAGACAAGAAAATAAAGAAAAGACAACCACAACGTCTCGCCCTATTGCATGGCACTAAAAAACTTTAAAGTATCTTACGTGTGGGAAGAAAGGAAAAAAAGTATCGACTCCTCCTGGTATCTTCCTCCTTCTATCTCAAATATGTCGCGTAATTCGAGCTTCCGTCGTGATTTCCGGTTATCTCGTTTTCAGATAAACGAAAGAGAAGTGCAGGAGTAAACCGATCCGAAGACATCCTATTCTAAAATTTCTGTCTTTACGTTGTTCTTTTACTATCTTCTGTTTGTGACTCACGTTTCAAGCATCATAAAAATCTCCAGCCTAGTTAATATGCAATAAATAACTAACAGAACATGATTTACACATCCGATTATTTTTTCTTGATGACCAAAGACTATCGTTGAACGAACGTCTCTTAGCATTGCATCGCGATATCTTCAGAATAAAAATAATCAATCAGACAGAATAATAAAAAACAATATTAGAGTAACGATGATAAGATAGATGTTAATGGTAAATGATACGAAGAAATAAATGTAAACTTGTTAATGTTTCTTCCTCGGCGAACAGTTATATCCATTAACAATGTATTAAATTTTCTGGAAAATTATTGTCAGTAAAAAGAATTAAGTTAATTTTTATTTTATTCCTTTTTTTTTTTTTACTTTTGTTAGAATTTTGTCTACTATTGCCTATTTAATATTATTTTTAAATATTTATCTATATATACATATATATATGACTTACTGCAAGTCAATTTCATTTATTGTATTTATAGATTATATTATAAGAAAATATTAATAATTTTAATTTAGGATTTAAAGTTGAAGTACGAATACTCTTGTGACTATTTAATCTCACAGCTAAGAAAATATGTTTAGTTTATAATTGATTTTTTTCCCTTTAACGATATAAACATTTTTGTAGAATATCTTCATCGGACTTAGCGTAATATACAATTATATTTATACTCAATGAAATAATATAAATTTACAAATATATATTTATAAATAGACACGAACTTTCTGAGCAAATCCAATATATAAATGCAAATAGTCTAAAAAATTTCGTCAAATAGATGGAGAAAGTAAAATCGTGAAAAGGATGAAATCGAAATAATGGTAAAATGTCGTTTAAAATATATCGTTGATAACACATCCGTTCTCCAAGTTCGTCTTGTCAATTCATAATATTTGCGTATGAATGAGTCTACGGGGAGCCCCAGGAGGAAAAGGCACCACGTAAATCTCTCAGCGGGCACCCAATGTCTCCGATATTATCTTCGAGAGAGAACGCAGCAGCCACCTTTTAAAAAAACCTCAGCATCGCGTGCACCCCACGTCGTTCGTTGGAGGATCTCTTCTCAAGAAAGCTTCCTCTCTTCTTCTTTCTACTTCTCCTTTCACCTCCCCCGTCAATTTTATTTACAGGATCCTAATATATCCGCGAACTTGACATATATCGTGTCTTTTATTGTCATTGTCAAAAAAGTTACTAATACTATTTCGCGTTCACATGACGTGCCAATTTTTTCTTCTAGAATATCTTTTTTTTTTAAATTCCCACGAAAGATCTGCCATAATTAATAGATCGTATATATAGATAGGTCGTATCTCGAACAACCAACCGCATAATTTTCTATCATTTCGATTATTATTATTATTAATACTACTATATTTCATCATACAAAAGAGGACTCGAATTTCGATACTAGTTTTTCTCGTTTATATTTCTTTTTCATTTTTATTTTTTTTACTGTTTTTTTTTTCTGATCGAATCTGTTTTTAATCTTTGACAATCTTTTAATTGACATTATAAAGGTCTTTATCCTACTGCTGATGATTGTAAGAGAAAGGTTTTTTAAGCATAACTTATTTAAATTCTAAGGTTTGATTTAAAATTTTTCTAAAGATACTTATTTCATGATATTCTCCCAAAGACTATCCTTCTTTTAGTTCTTTCTCCATTATTCTTTCTTTCTTCACGATATCACTCTCCACATACTCACACATATCCAAGAACGTTTGATCTCTATTCACATTTAGTCTAAATTCGCTTGATGTTGAAAAAAATATTCCGGACCGTTTATTATCGCTCATACATATATACACTTACACATAACTACTACATATACTATGAAAGCATACTATCTTATAAAAAGCTATTGGTTCTCAAGTCTTGCAGTATTATTATATAATTATATTTGTATAATTAATTATTAATTATTTTTAAATATATATATATATATATATATATATATATATATATATATATATACTAAATAAGTTAACTAATTAACTAATTATAAGTCAATGACCTAACCATGTTGAATTACTAATTCTCATCAGATCATTAAAGTTAAGTAACATGTATATAGTTAATAAACTGGATGGTTTTCACGTTCGGAAAAATGAAAACTATGGATTTCAAAAGTTGAATCCAAAAAGACAGTAAAAAAACGCAACCTCTTTAGTTATATCGAATAGGTGTAAGGTGTTCATAAAGAAATAACTTTAATCTGTAAAAAGTAAAGTAAAAAGATACAAACCCAATTAAATAATAACGCTACATTATATTACATTAATTATTAAAAATATTTGTAATATCTTATCTTATTTACGAATTTAATAGATTTGTTCATTTATTTTATTTCTTACAATTGTCTCTCTTTTAATATCTCTCACATACATATATGTACGTATATACGACATACCTTCGAGCAAACGCTTCGACAGGATCCGGCAGCCGACGAACAGCAGGACATCTCTGTAAAAAAGAAAAAAAAAATAATATGCAATCAGATTCTTTCCTGCAGTATTCCTTTCCTTTCCTTTCTTTTCCTTTTAGTATTTCTTTCTTTTTTCTCTCTCTTTATCGATAGAAAATTCTCAAAGAGAGGACACATGGAAGGTAAAAAGTCCACTCGACGAAAAGACAAGCGTCGTAGTAAGGATTCTTTTTCCTACTTTTCAACTGACACGAAGCAGACGCGTGTCCTGCGTTATGTCAGGATAAAGAAGAAAGAAAAACAAAAAAAATGAAAGAAAGAGAAAAGTGGAAAGAAGACACCGTCTTTCATGATAGGCAAGAAATAAGGAACACTTTTCTTGTCAAAACGTAAGGATCTTTTCAAAGGGCCCCACAGGATGCGTCATTTTCATTAAAAATAGAAAAACAAATACATCGGAGAATTCGAAAACTTTCGAAATATTTTCCCTCGTAATTATAAATATCTCTTTAAAAATAATTTTTAAGTGATTTTTTTTTATATTATTAATTTTCCAATCATTTATTATGAAAATTATTATAAACTTATATACATATAATTATATACTACATTTAGAAACTTTTCACAAATCTTTTTCTTCGTGATTTTAAATTTCCAAAAAACGGTTTATAATTGTTTCTTTTTATATTATTAATTTATAAATTATTTATACTATTAAAATTGCTGTGTATTTATATATTTTATTGTTAAATCGTGAAATTTAGTTATTACATACAATAACTAGGTATATATTTAATTTATATATTTATAATTTTTGATAGGAACTTATGAGAAGCTCTATGCCTTTAAATTAAATAACATTTGTTTAGAAGACTATTAAACGAATAAACACTCATTTATTGTCTCCAGATTTACACTAGTGCAATATAGGCAGATATTGAAACAAAATCGATAAATATTTTTCTTATATTAATATCAAATTTCAATTTCATTCCTTAATTTATCGCATCTCGTGAATTCATAGAATAAATAATTAAAGTATATAATTCTGACTTATGTTATATTTTAACAAGTAATTTTAATTATTCTATAGATTAACGGATTACACGTTTTAACGGTAACATATACATATAATTATATATATATATATATATATATATATTATTTCATTTGAGTCAATCAATAAACTAAAAATCGATTTTCTAACTCTCTCCTCAATCCTACACCTTTTCCCTAAATCTTATATTATTTAATAACCTAGGGGAGCCGTTTCTCACGTAGTAACGATCGAGGACTCGAATTCGAAACTTCGTGACGCGATCTGCCTTAAAAGTACTTCGGACGCTTTATGTACATCAATCGTCTCGAACAGGAGGTTCTTATGACAAAATTGTTCGATCCCTTTGAAAATTTGAAGCCACGTCGACCGTATCGTTTTTCATTTATTTTTTCTCTCTCTTTTTCTTCCTTTTTTTTACACTTTTCTTCTATATTCTTATCATATCTTTTCATCCATCCCACTCTCTTTCTTTCTTCCCTAAAAGATGATTCCCACGGTATATTACTTCATAGTATAAAAGAAACCGATTATGCAAGAATAAAATCAATCACAAATATCGCCATTGCACAATCAGTTATCCAAGATCTTAATGGTAAGCGTCAAAAAAACACCATAATAATATCGTTAGATCGTGTAATATCAATCGGTGATAGCTATTACATAACATTACTTTCCATCTACTCTTCCTATCAATCGATCAAAAAGTTTAGAAGAGCGTATTAGATTAGACGGATATGATGCGGGTAGGCGTAACGGGAATTTTAAAAAATTGTATTTCTTAAAGGCAAATGCGAAAGAGAGTCAAGCCCGCAGTATAACTTATGTTGGTAGACATTTATATATGTATGTACATATATGTATATATACATATAAGCATTATAAGAGATGCACGCGTTCATGACGGACGTAGCAAACAATACCCACGACGTGTTGCAATTAAGCCAATAGATACCAATTAGACGCAAACTATGAAAGAAGAGCGGCCATCTTCGTTCGAAGAAAAGAATAAGAAAAAGAGACTGCTTTTTAGCTTTGGACAGCACACTCTCGACGCTTTAAGTTTCATTCGCTCGACGATAAATATTACTCTCTTTTTGTTTCTCTCCCTCTCTTTTTCTCTTGAGAACCTGTTTCACTAATATAAATTATTTGCCTTTCTTATTTCTGCTCTATTTTTAACGTTATATGCGACAATAACGTTCTTGGACATATTTAAATAAACGAGGCCGTGACAAAAATTAGAGTTGTTCTTTTTTTATATTTTATTTTATTTTATTTTTGTTTCTATTTATGGCCCGTACCGAAAAAAGTCACCCGACACAAAAAAGAAAATAAATGTTTTCACTATTAATCGAACTATTTGAAAGTTATGTGATATATTGTTTGTTAAAATTAAATTAATATAAAAAAAAATATAAAAATAACTCTAGGAAGGCTACTATTATAAGATAAATATAAATAAAGTTTGATTTAAATCCATTTGATCCAGATTATCCGCTATGTCTCAACAAAACATCCCATCGTGAAATTCTTCATTAGAGAAGAGTGGGCTACGCTAAACACGACGTTTCGTGGCTCCGTTTGCGGACGACACAAAAATAGCCGACGTCGTTCGCGACCATCCGGCCTTTTGCCCCCTCGATTTAAACTACTGTGAGGACTCCTTAATTTTGTCGCCGTTCGGCATAACTCTGATACACTTGCAATGATATATTCGATAGATGTTTTTTTATCTTTTTTTTTTTACAAATTAGAATACCCAGCAGGGAAAAACGATGATGTCAACGTAAAAAAACGATGAGCAAAATTTGAAATAAAAATAAAAACAAGAGACAATTGTCAATTGGAATAAGTAGCAATGCAATTGATTGACATGCTATTTTCTCTCCTTCAAAATTCCACGAACGAAAGCGGTGAGGACAATTTTAAAATGCCATTAGCGTCCCTTGTCTATCGTGAAAGTCTTACCACTTCTTTTAAACGCGCCATAGAAGTTCCATGCGACGAATGAGGACGACAATGTTTCTCTTAACAATCTATAGTCATCACTTGAATTATTTTCCTTTGTTAGAAAAAGAAAAATAGAGAAAGGGAAAAAATACACATATCGCAAGTTGACATTTTTTAATTTTTCGTACGCATATAAATGCATATGTGCCGGTAATGACGATACACTTACGGAAATATATTCAATCGACTTTATTTTAAAAATGTTTAAAATATCAAATGGAATAAGGAAAAGAATTAAACAAAATTTTATATTCGTCTTTTTACTTTTCCTTACACAGGGGTTCGAGACATTTCTCGATGAACACCATATCCATTACCACCAAAGAGGATGCATCTAGACTAAATTTTGTAAATATTATAATTATTTATGTTATAAAATAAATCATAAAATAATTTGTTGTCAATTTGTTGACATAATTCACTGTTATAATTATCGACACATATGTACATGTACACGTATGACTATGTAAACAATTAAGTATTACGTTGACAGGAAACATGAACGCATACGCAGATGTTACTTACTTTCGCTATGCTATCTTTCCATTTACGCGTCGAGAGATGTGCACGTTAATGTCGACGTCATCCAAATCGTAAAACCCATGCGATTCTCCCACGCCATGAGATTACGAGAGTCTCGTAGCAGATGTAAGTAAGTAAGTAAGTAAATAAGCATGTATATATCAAAGTTATACGAGAAGTTTACAACTTTGCGATGACTATTCTTTATTTATTGTGGGATCATACAAAAATTGAACTTACGTTCAAAACTACATCAATTAAGTTTGTAATATATGTCGATAATTCTAACGACAAACAAAATAAATAGCGACTTTTTACTTTTAAATTCAAATTGAAAAGCATAGTTTATACAATACAGCGAGTGTCATAAATCGTTCATGACACTGGCTGCATTACATTAAAAATTCTTGGTTAAATTGTTCACGGTGTCATGACAATTTGAAAGAATCGTTCTTAATCCCACCAAAGAAGACTCATTTCTAAAAGAAAATAATCAATTAAATTTTATCTACATACACGTATTATACTAAATAATATTAAAGTGACATTTGATTATGCATTATATTTCCAGAATTGAACGGCAAAAAAATCTCATAAATGTCTCATCCGTAATTTTAAAGCAACAGATCCAAAAGAATAAGACGAGCATAGGTTATATTTGATTATGCAGTGACTGCAATGCAAAAAATATTCGTCAAATGACAGAGAAAGACAGGTGGTCGCGACATTATTATTTATTATTAATACAGTCATCAAAAGCTTGAGAACGAGTGTTGCCTACAGAATTATTTTGGTAGATTTTTATAGAAGAAAGAGTAAAGAAGCAAGAAGATGAAAACAAGAAAGAAAGAGTGAATATATCAACGTGTTTTTGTCTGACTGAAGCTGTCACGGGCTTTCATCTTTCTCTTTCTCTCTCTCTCTCCTTAACTTTCTCTTCGTCTTTCTTTCCGATTTCATTTTGATGTATTTACGTATCATAGGCATATACTTATATGCATACAAAATATACATATAATTCATACATGTTTACATACATATATATATACACGAAAGATTTTGATAATCATAAGCAGTTTTGCCAATGATTTGTAACATTAATTCATTAACGGAATACCATTTTGAGCATTTACTGTAAGAAACTGAATAAAGATTAAAATGTTTAATATTAACAATTTTAGTTATAATTTCACTTTGATCACCATATACATGAACAACTTTATTACATAAATCATTGACGATAACATCAAAGTATACAAGAAATGTTAATTAAACATTATAAGATGAACACCGTTGTTACTCATTGTCAATGGCATTAATCTTTCGAAGTAATCCTATGCAGATCAAGATTTCCTTAATATCTCGTTAATAATTAGCTTTAGGACTAAAAAATTTTAATATTTATTTTCTATTCGGAGATTAATAATCCTTCGAAGTTTCATTAAA